TTTTCTTACCATTTGACATCCTAAATGACATTTCTACCTCATTTTTTGATATCAATTGACACATTCTAACTGTTAAATTTGATTATTTTGCATCACACGAAGATTTTTATATCAAAAGTGACATTTGAATGACATACATTAAATTTACAATTTGACATCTTAAATGACAGCTACGCGTCAAGTTGAATCGTTAAATGTCATTTTATCCGTGAAATTTGTTAATTTTTTTTAACGCGAAGCTTTTAATATCAATAGTGATGTTTAAATGACAGCCTAAAAGTATCAAATTTGAGCATTTCGCATCACACGAAGATTTTAATGTCAAAAGTGATATTTGAATGACATTTTATAGATTAAATTCGTAATTTTCTTAAAGTTTGACATCTATACCTCATTTTTTGGACACCAATCGATACTCTAACTGTCAAAAATGATCAATTAGGGTCATAAGAGGATTTTAATGTCAAAAGTGACGTTTGAGTACCAACTTAACGATTAAATTTACAATTTTCTTCGATTTTGACATTCTAAATGACATCTCTACCTCATTTTTTGATACTAATTGACATTCTAATTGTCAAAAATGATCAATTAGGAACACACGAGGATTTTAATGTCAAAAGTGACGTTTGAGTACCAACTTAACGATTAAATTTACAATTTTCTTCGATTTTGACATTCTAAATAACATCTGTACCTCATTTTTTGATACTAATTGACATTCTAATTGTCAAAAATGATCAATTAGGATCATACGAAGATTTTAATGTCAAAAGTGACAATTAAGTACCAACTTAACGATTAAATTTACAATTTTTTTCGATTTTGACATTCTAAATGACATCTCTACCTCATTTTTTGATACTAATTGATATTCTAATTGTCAAAAATGATCAATTAGGATCATACGAGGATTTTAATGTCAAAAGTGACATTTGAGTACCAACTTAAAGATTAAATTTACAATTTTCTTAGATTTTGACATTCTAAATAACATCTCTATCTCATTTTTTGATACTGATTGACATTCTAACTGTCAAAAATGATCAATTAGGAGCACACGAGGATTTTAATGTCAAAAGTGACATTTGAGTACCAACTTAACGATTAAATTTACAATTTTCTTCGATTTTGACATTCTAAATGACATCTCTACCTCATTTTTTGATACTAATTGATATTCTAACTGTCAAAAATGATCAATTACGAACACACGAGGATTTTAATGTCAAAAGTGACATTTGAGTACCAACTTAACGATTAAATTTACAATTTTCTTCGATTTTGACATTCTAAATGACATCTCTACCTCATTTTTTGATACTAATTGATATTCTAACTGTCAAAAATGATCAATTACGAACACACGAGGATTTTAATGTCAAAAGTGACATTTGAGTACCAACTTAACGATTAAATTTACAATTTTCTTCAATTTTGACATTCTAAATGACATCTCTATCTCATTTTTTGATTCTAATTGACATTCTAACTGTCAAAAATGATCAGTTAAAATCATACGAAGATTTTAATGTCAAAAGTGACATGTGAATGACATCTTATACATTAAATTTACAATTTGACATCTTAAATTACATCTACGCGTCAAGTTGAGTCGTTAAATGTCATTTTATCCGTGAAATTTGGTAGTTTTGCTTAACGCGAAGCTTTTAATATCAACAGTGACGTTTAAATGACAGCCTAAAAGTATCAAATTTGATCATTTCGCATCACACAAAGATTTTAATGTCAAAAGTGACGTTTGAATGACATTTTCTAGATTAAATTCATAATTTTCTTAAAGTTTGACATCTATACCTCCTTTTTGGACACCAATTGATACTCTAACTGTCAAAAATGATCAATTACGAGCACACGAGAATTTTAATGTCAAAAGTGACATTTGAGTACCAACTGAACGATTAAATTTATAATTTTCTTCGATTTTGACATTCTAAATGACATCTTTACCTCATTTTTTAATACCAATTGACATTCTAACTGTCAAAAATGATCAATTAGGATCATACGAAGATTTTAATGTCAAAAGTGACATTTGAATGACATCTTATACATTAAATTTACAATTTGACATCTTAAATGACAGCTACGCGTCAAGTTGAATCGTTAAATGTCATTTTATCCGTGAAATTTGGTAATTTTTCTTAACGCGAAACTTTTACTATCAATAGTGACGTTTAAATGACAGCCTAAAAGTATCAAATTTGATCATTTCGCATCACACAAAGATTTTAATGTCAAAAGTGACGTTTGAATGACATCTTATAGATTAAATTTATAATTTTCTTAAAGTTTGACATCTATACGTCATTTTTGGACACCAATTCATATTCTAACTATCAAAAATGATCAATTAGGATCATACGAGAATTTTAATGTCAAAAGTGACATTTGAGTACCAACTTAAAGATTAAATTTACAACTTTCCTAGATTTTGACATTCTAAATAACATCTCTACTTCATTTTTTGATACCAATTGACATTCTAACTGTCAAAAATGATCAATTAGGATCATACGAAGATTTTAATGTCAAAAGTGACATTTGAATGACATCTAATACATTAAATTTACAATTTGACATCTTAAATGACAGCTACGCGTCAAGTTGAATCGTTAAATGTCATTTTATCGTTGAAATTTGGTAATTTTTCTTAACGCGAAGCTTTTATATCAATAGTGACGTTTAAATTGGAGCCTAAAAGTATCAAATTTGATCATTTCGCATCACACGAAGATTTTAATGTCAAAAATGACGTTTGAATGACATCTTATAAGTTAAATTTATAATTTTCTTAAAGTATGACATCTATACCTCATTTTTGGACACCAATTGATACTCTAATGTCAAAAGTGACGTTTGAGTAACGACTTAAAAATTAAATTTATAATTTTCTTACATTTTAACATCCTAAATGACATTTTTGACGTGTATAAACTTTCCACAAAGGACAACGTGACTCTCTAGACGCTTAAGACTAATTACTCTCTTGTTTTTCTTGCTGGCGTCATTTTTTAGAACGACGTCTCTGTAATACAGTTTCCTGTAATATTATAGTTCCCTACACGTTAATCTCTACGTCATTTTTTGATACCAATTGACATTTAAATGACATCTTAAATATTAAATTTACAATTTTCTTAGAATTTGTCTTGTTATTATTAATTGTGATGTCTTTTCGCATCACAATTAATTAATTTTTTGTTTTTTTTTAGGGTAAACAAAAACAAACAAAACGTACCACGACATTCTTCCAATTTTGTAACGCCGAATCCGGGATTTTGTTATGCACAGATGTCGCAGCGAGGGGCCTCGATATTCCAGCAGTTGATTGGATCGTCCAATTTGATCCTCCAGATGACCCAAGGGAGTACATTCATCGCGTTGGTAGGACGGCTAGAGGGGAAGGAAGCACAGGAAGGGCTTTATTGTTGTTGAGACCGGAAGAATTGGGATTTTTGCGATATTTAAAGCAAGCGAAAGTTCCGCTTAACGAATTCGAAACAAAATGGAATAAAATCGCCGATATTCAATTGCAATTAGAGAATTTAATCGGGAGAAATTACTTTTTGAATTCCTCAGCGAAAGAGGCGTTTAAATCGTATGTTCGTGCGTATGATTCGCATCATTTAAAAACGATTTTTGATATAACCACGTTGGATTTGGCGAAGGTGGGGAGTTCTTTCGGGTTTAAAACTCCCCCCGCGATCGATTTGCGTAAGTTTTTTGTGGGTAATTGATTTTGTTTAATTTTTTTATTTGTAGAGGTAACTGCAAAGAAAAAGGATCGTTTAAAACGCAAAGATGGACATGGTTATGGTTATTACAAGAATTATAATAACGTTGGGGGGGAAAAGGAAATGAATCGGGCCAAGATTTACCGGAAATCGAATTATGAGCAAGGAAAAAATAGGCAATTTTCAAGATGACTTTTTTTACAAATGAAATTTATTTACTTTTTAAATATATAGACATTTATATCTTAGAAAGTCTGTCTCTAATACAAAAAAAGCATCGCTCAAGTTATTTTATTATTGTATTTACAAATTCCTATTTATCCTTAATTCTAATTTTCGCGATAAAGATTTTTTTATTATTAGATCTGTATATTTTGCGGAAACGAAAAGGTGTCCATCTTTCCACGGGGAACGAAACTAATTCTTTGGTACGATTTTTCATTTAAAAAGAATGAGATAATTTTAAAAAAATTTTGCGAAAAAATGTAAAATTTTCGACTTGAAACAATATACAGAAAACGAAAATGTTAAAAAGGGGAACCCCCAACAAAAAATGCTATTTACACCGTCTCTTTTTGTTTTTAAAAAAATAACTATAAATACACAATGATTATTTACAGTTTGAATCGTTTCATTTTTTTTTTGTTATCTAATTTATGAAGAAAATTTTACACCACTACACTTCGCAACCAAACGAGATCATTTTTAATCAAAATAACCCCGATTTGAATCGAGTCCACAACACTACACATCGACGACCATAAAATAATTTAAAAAAAAAATTAAATTAATAATTAACCCACCTTTTATTACACAGTAAGTTTACGTCGCGTAGAAAAACTTCCCTAATTTAGTGATAATTACAAAAAAGAGACCATCCAAATCTCTTCACAAAAATGTTTTACGGCCTAGATCCTCGCGCTGCCTCCTCCAAAGCCCTCACTTTCAATTCCCGCTCTCTTTGTTGCCTATTAAAAAAAAATCTGTTTTCATTCACTTTTATCATCATTTGCGATAATGAATTTGTGATAGTCGTATTTTAAAGAAAAAAATTATTAAATTATGAATAAAATTTCGCAATCTAGATCAAAAATGCTTTAAAATGAGCCCAAACTCGATGGGGTTATCTTCAAAAACAACTAAGATACGATTGTTTTAAAAATATTTTGACAGGTGGTTCTCAATTGTTTTAATTCATTTTTAATTTGTAACTTTTTTGTTTTTTAAGGTATCCCCATCGAGTTTGGACTTATTTTAAAGGATTTTTAATTCCCTACAACCCGAAAACAACGACAACCCAAAATAACCATTTTTACAATCACTTCCGGTTTCTAAATCGAGAAATTTTTGAGATAAATATTTTTGTTTTATTAATTCTTTAATAATGGAAGATAA